TGCATTAGTGCCAACTCCTTGTACCTGTACCTGTCTTCTGCTTTCTTCACTACTGACTAAAGCATATGCTTGTGATAGTGAGACACTTTCCTTGGATAGAATATTTTGTTTTGTGATGTCATATTCAGGGTTTAGCCTAGTTAGGAATTCAAAAACCCTGTTCCTTTCAACTAATTTCCGGTAGGTCTCTGCATCATTGGGAGTATCCCATGTCACTGCCTCTATTAGATCAATTTCTTGCCACAGAGACTTCAAGGTGGAGAAATATGCTGCAAGGGATTTCTCCCCCTGTCTCAGATTCTTCACATCACTCCTTAGTTTATAGGCTCAAGCAACATTCAATTTCTGGGAGTACGTTTCTGCAACACTATCCCAGATTTCCTTAGCCGAATTCATCCAGAGATAATGCTGACTAATTTGTGGCTGCATTGAATTCACAAGCCACCCAATCACTGTGTAATTCTCTTGCACCCATTTCTCATAAGAGGGATCATCCACTGGGGGAGCTTTCTTGCTCCCAGAGATAGACCTCCACTTTCCTCTACTGCAAATATGAATTTTTACGGATTGTGACCAGGCCAATTAATTGGTTCCATCCAGTTTAACTGTAGTTACAGCCAACAAGGAATCGGTTGTAGTTCCCAAAGTATGTCCATATTCAGCAGTACTCTTGTTCTCAATTTCTGATAAGTCCATTATGTAACAACTTCAATTAGGGTTTCGGCAAGCCACCAATAGTATACTGATTTTAAAGAACTCAGATTGAGTTGAATCAACAACGAACACAACAACTCACAAACTCAGTTTAGGCCTTACAGCCGTGAGAACCAAGTTCGGTGGCAACACTTTCAAGAAGAAGAAGGCCTGATTCAGCCTTCAAGGAACAATCAGCCGACCTCCAAACACTTTGTATTCTTAGTTCCCAACTGTAGAGAAGATGGGCCGAATGGCCCATAGGTTGTTTAGTCTTTCTTGTTATTTATGTTTMTTTTCTGTAATGGGCCTTATTCTGGGCCCATCCTGTCTATATTAAGTTCTATGTAAATTCTTGCCCAACTAGGGGTCTCCTTGTAATTATTCAAATATATCTTAATAAAAGAGTGTTAGGGTGCTGAGAGAGGAAATTTTCGAAACTCTCATTCTCAGACCCTCATTGCTGAACTCTCAAGCTGTCCTCTCTTCAGTTTTCTTCACCAACAATATTTTCCCAAAGAGAACAAAAAATATAATCGACAGTACTTAAGAGGCCTTTTTACAAACACTATGTATGCAGCAGTCAACACTTCACTGTTAACTAGCAGGAATCACTTCAAGAACACTCCGTATAGGTCCAAGAAGTAGCTGAAC